AGAAATTTAACCTACAGAACCTCAAAGATCACAGTAGAAATAGAGATTACAAATAGAACATAAATCTGAAGCTTGGGAATAGACAAAAGAGTGAAAATACTAGCATTCAGTGAAACATATGTCGTAATATTATCTGTGAGGTCGCACAAGAAGCCCTAGGATTTGAAAGAATAGCCCTCTGGACTGGTTTTACGAACAGTGCACCAAACGTAGCGTAGAACGGAAGCGATGGAAGAAGAATACAGAGTACTGAGGAGGGAAGAAAAGAGGACTCTTGGACGGAAAAAAAGATGCCATAAACGGTGAACTGAGAGAATTAAAGAAATTAAGAACACAGTCGTACAAGAGGAAATTCTACCAGAATCTAAATGGGAATGGGAAAAAATTTAAACCTAGGACAATAAGAACTGTGGTTTTACACCTCAGTATCGCAGATTTTTACGCTACACACTGCATAAATTGCAAACTCAAGAAAGAAACCTAGATTTACTCTGCATAAATCAGCAGTTAAGGATGTGATACGGTTTGCATCGGATGCTATTATATCTCCATATTATCATAAGCTATACTCTTTCAACTTTAGAAAATGATTCTGACTTCAGACGTCATCAATTAGAAATCAGAGGCCAGAAAATGTTTTTCTGCAAGACACTCGTTGCAATTGAGTAAGAAATTATAATTAATAATTGGTTTTCTTGACAATATACACCAAACAGTTATATGTTCCAAATGAAACAGCTTCTCATGAATTTCACTGGGATTTGTTAGCAACACAGTAGCACATGTTTTCTTTATTCACGCTGCTAGACCGATGGAAGTGTACCGAGGATGCCGATTTTGGCGTAATTAAATGAAACAATGAAAGAAAAACGTTATTATATACTTTATTTTATATTTCGGTACTTAAAATTAGCAAAATTTGATAGAAATAGCAAAGAAAAATAAATTTATTTGAAATAGTAGAAATGACAAGAATTACTTTCAACCAAATTCTAATATGCTTTTAAAAGCTTTTGAAAATATTTTCTTTTTTGAGATCAATGTTAACAAGCCGTCGTTGAGAGATTGATTGTGTGCAGAATGGAGGCTGTAAAATCTTTTGGCCATATTCTACCAAATTATTATTCCATTAAAACAACTACTATTTCTGTACATGGGATAGAATAAGATGGAGTCACAAGGCATCAATCGATTATTAATAGATTGTCCTGGTATTTGCTGCAGATTGCCTTCTTATTTTATCTGATTCAATTCGGGTCTCAGATCCCAGAATCAATTTGATTACAAATTCAGTTAAAAAAACATTCTTAATGAAAGTTATTTTCTTGGTCCTAAGCTCTCTTAATGTTAGCTTACTGAAATATCACTTCTCTTATAATAAGATAAGTAATATTTTTATTAATATATTTTTCTCCATAGCGAGATTAATATTTATTGGCGATTTATAAAAAGAATTTTGCCAGGAAATTAATTGCTGCTGATTTGGTGATGGCAATATAGTAATTTATCCTAAATGGAAAGTATCAAAACGTTTTCTCTCAAAAAACCAAGGTTCATTTTTAAAAATTCTGAGACACCTATACGAAGTTAGCCACCAATTAAATAAGATTTTACATGTGTAGTATTTTGATTATAACAAAAAAAAATCTCAACTGATTTTGACGAACAATATCTCATTCGAAAGCTTAATCCTTGGTGGCCAGCTAACAGAATGACAGCGTGTTCGGCTCGTTGTTTATACACGTATGGACGACCGAAAATCTATACATGTAAAATCCTATCTAATTGAAGGCTACCTTCACATAAGTCAGGTATCGAATATTTCTACTTCCGTTATTACCAACAAAATCATTAAAATCGTTGAGTTGCATGTTGTGGCCTCTCTCTAGAAGTTAAATTTAATTTAAACCTAAATTTAAATGAATAAACTAGCATTTTAAAATACAACTTGTGTTCTAGGATTATCTAATCTTGATTTAATAATAACGTTTAAAAATGTTATTTTTTTAACGCGTGAATACGTTACAATGAACTTGCTTCTGTAGAATTGTTTATTAAGATAATCTAAATAAACATATGTTAATTTGGAAATTAGAAGCAAGCCCATTTTAATGTGTTTTCTTTTAAAGCAACTCGAGCAAACTATTACTAAACAAGTATATTTTTAGTTTGATATAAACATACTACGTCAAAACTTGATTGTTATCATAATAATAGAGTAGATTGAGTTTCATTAAATTGTTAGTTTATTAAAAAAATAAAGGCACTTCAATTACGAATTAGATGATTTTAATAAAATATTGATTATATTTACTCATATATTTTTTTTTGTTTATTTCAGCGATTCACACAATACCTAGCATCTAGTAACAGTTCATTTCAACTAAACAATTTTTTAGATAAAAGTGGAGTTCCAGGTAAGAATCACAATTAAAGTAATCATTCTTAAATCGATCAGTATTAGTCATTTTTAATGATATAATTTTTAATGAGCGTGCCGCTAGTTTAAAGTACTCATGACTAAACCATAATTTTCTTCTTTTTTCCTTTTTTATTTATTCTTTATTGAACGCCAGTTCTACATTTTCTTACTTATTATCTAACCGTATTTTGCGTTGATTGAAATTCATAAAATAATGTTTATTTACTGTTGCATAATACATCTTTCGCTTTAAACTACGTTTTATTCATTTTAAATATTAAGAAATTTAAACAAGTCAAGTATTAGATTATTGAGAAATGTTTGTTTAAATTTTTTGATATAAAAACTAACATTCGGGTTTTGATTTGTTTTGCGTTTCTTATGGATAAATTACTAATATATTTTTATTTTTTATGACGCTAAGGTGTTGTCAGTGCAAGGACGGGTAAGTTTATTTGTCTGTGTGGAAGTTATACATAGTATATAATGCATCTAGAAGTTAAGCAAACAATTCAATTCAAACTAATTCTTCGAGTTTAAATCTTATTGTTTGTTTAACATTCTATATCGATCTGCTTATTGCTACAAAGCTTTTAACCTAATACTCGCACTAAAATAATTGATTATAAGCTTTCTTCTTTAGCTAAAATATAATTAAAAAATAAATTAATTTTTAAAAAACAAAATAGATAAAAACCATAGTTAAATTAATAAAGCGAATTTATTTAATTAATTTAACGATTAAACATTGGTATTATGATTTTATTTTTCACTACACATAGTTAATTGATTAGTCTTTTAATTTTTTTAATGTTGCGCTTTCTAACTTTAATTACATTTTGTTGTTTTACAAAAGTCTTTAATCGGAATCACTGATTGAAACTTAATTTCAGGTTATGATATGTCCCCTTTCATTCGAAGATATGCCAGATATCTTAACGAGAAAGCTATGTCGTATAGAACGGTCGCATTTGATTTTTGTAAAATCAAAAGAGGGTAAGATATTTATATCTATATTTCTTATATGATTAACGTTTCATGTAATGCTAAGATTCAAAACGATATTTTATATTTTAACGCCCGTATTATGTTAATGCTAAGTCATTAAGTTTAACATTAATCAAAATCTTTCTGTTATTTAAAAATGTAAAGTTAAATTGAACTTTTTTATCATTTAACTTCTAGAACATATAGATTTAATACTTATATTACTTTATTCACTTATTTGATAAACACTTTCAAAGATATTTTTTTGTATGAATTTCACTCATTGACCTAATCAAATTGGAGCGAAAAGAGATGTATTAACTGCAAAACCTAAAGAAATTAGCATTTTCTTTTATATTTAATTAAAGGAAACCTTCCTTTACTTGAGAAGCCTGCGTTGTGTTCAGTTACAATTTTTTTAATTAGTTATAAAGCGCTTCTGTGAAGTTCTGCAAATATCTGCACTGCTTTAACTCTTTAAGTTTTCTGACAAATTAATGCAAATTCAATTTTTGATGAGCGGTGTACTTAATAGGTGAAGCCATACTGACAGTTTCTGCAAATAAGGTTCCTTCTCTTTGGCCATCTTTTTCAAGTACTTATATTAAGAGCAACCCTAATTTTTGTTGTTCAACTGGAGTTTGTGTAACTCAGCTAAAAAGTGATATCATTACTAGAATTAAAAATTGGGTCTATATTAAATGATGGAGTTATGTTGCTCACTTTGTCTTTAATAAATTTTGAATTAAATCATAGATATTCTGTGATAGACTATTTTATTACCAAACCTCAGCAAGGCCCAAATTAAGCATCGTTGGTTCATTACTAATGCACTATTATAGAGAAGGAGCTGTCAAAATTTGGAATTTATTAAAATATTACGATGTTGAATCATCTTTCGTAGGCTCAATCGATTTACATCAAGACAGATTATTTAAATGCATGTCTGATTGTATGTTATTAATCTGTAGATACTTCATGTATCACAGAAAAATTCGAAAAGATTCTTCTATCTAATTCTTCTATCTCACTATAACCTGTTAAACTCATACTCAGATACTACAATTTCATTTGTTACTCTATTTCCTCATTGACTATCAATTTTTATCTTGCATCATATAGATGCCTTTAGATGTGGTCATACATTTTGTTTTTTCTGTGGATATTTCCATGTTAAATTTTCTCGCTGTTGTGTTAAAAATATGAGTAAGTCTTTGAAGATCGTGTTCATTTTTTACAAAGAGCACGGCATGGTCTGCAAAACATATTCGAATTTCTTCATTGCCCATTATACATATACAAGGTGTTTCTGTAAGTCGTGGCATAATTTTAATTACAAATACTACAGTGAAAATGATTCGTGTAAAAATTTTTGATTTAAACTTATAAATGGCTAAGATATGGGCCATCAAAGCTAAGTTCTTAAATATTTTTAATATGGTTTATCTCAGAAAGACTAAATTTAGCAAATAATGTAATGTTATCATAAGAAATCGTTTAAGATCACTATTGAAAATATCGAACTATTGAAATATCTGTTGCAAGTACAGTGTTGCCATACTATGATGCAAAAATGTACTAATGATGCTACGTTTTTAGAAAAAAGTACTTTTTACAAATAACCATTAAAAATGCTGAAGAATAACTGTACTAAAGAAAATCCAGATTTCATGCTACGTTGAGTAATAATTTGATGATTTTTTTTTTAAACGAACATAAATCTTTTTGTGTATAACTCGAAAACGATGCTTGTAATCAAAAATTTGTAAGAGTAAAAATAATTTTAAAATGAAATAGGCTTTTGGAATCAGTTGGAGAAATTTTATGGTTTACGACATAATAAAAAAATCTTAAGGAAATAACCTTTGTGAACATCCTGTATTGCAATGACGCCGTGTTTGCATATTTTCAAAAGTGATCTTAAACGATTTATCATGATAACATTGCACTGTTTGCCAGATTTTATCTTTCTAAGACAAACCATATTGAAAATATTAAAGAAAATGTTTAAAAATTTCTTAACTTTGATGGCTTATATCTTGGCCATTTATGGGTTTGTGACCAAAAATTTGTATACGAATCATTTGACGTTATCATTTTGACTCTAGTATTTGTGATTAAAATTATGCCACGACTTACAGAAACACCCTGCCTGTATATTCTTTATCGCGTCTTATTTGGTTCACGTCATTTCCAGATAGGAATCCTTGTTGTTCGTTAGCAAAATGTATACCCCGATAGTTGTTTGGTTCCTGTTTGTCACCTTTCTTAAAGATGACAATCATTATATATTTATTATTTCTCCTTGTAATAGGATTTGTTGATTAAGATTTGCTAGTTCTCGTATCGCCATACTCTATTAGTTCATTCTTAACGTTTTCACAGTTTCTCAAACTTCTTCATACTTTATTTGTATATCTTGTCTGATCATACTACAGATCAGACAAAAGATGAATATCTCTACACTCCATCATTCCTTTGAGTAATTTTTTTAAATACCTTTCCCAATCTTCTTCTGTAATTTGTGTTTTGAATCAATTCTGTTACTTCTCTACGTTGTTGCCTCACTATTCTCCACACCTCTTTTTATGTTCCATAAAAGTCGTCCTCTGACATCTTGTAGAATTTTTCCCAATGGTCATTTTTAATAAATTTTACTAACAAGTTTGTTTCATTTCGGACTAGTTTGTAGATTTCGTAGTGTTCATGTTGGAATATCGAAGACAACTATTTTAAGATTAATCATAAGAGATATTTGGCTATTTTTGGCGATGACCTTAATCATCGACTAAAATTTTGTGAAGACAAAAAAATGCGCTAATCATCGATTTCTTAGGTAACCATTATAACAGCTTTACTATTCTCGAGGGAATAGTAAACATGTACCATTAGAATATTGAAAATCCCAAGTAGTTGTGTCAAGTAGAACATCAAGAACCTTGGTTAGTTAATGTTTAGTATGATATGTCGCTAACAAATCACACATCGACCAGATGCATCTCTGGTACACACTTTGGTGAAAAACTTCAACACGTTATCTTACAAAATATAGGCAGTTCTTTGGCTGTTAGATGTTACCGATAAATTACGTCTAACTTATCTAAATTGCAACAACAAATTGTACATTTTACGAACTCTGCGGATACGTGATTAAACAAGATTTGCAAGAGTTATTACAACCAATCAAAGTCATTGCGTAGTATGCAATTTATGTTAGATGAATCATTTTTAGGACCATTTTTTAGGGCGCCGTAGACCAAATCAATAGAACAATGATCAATGAATTTTTCTTTTCTCAAATGTATGAATTGGGACTAAACAATAGCATGGATCAACAGCACATACTGTATTCTACACCCACAAACATACGGCAATTTTCTGAGACAGTCATTTTCCGGTAGACTAATATTGCGTTTTGTCGATTTATATTAACTCGCAAAATCATCCGATTTGGGTGCCCTAGACAAACAAATCTCACATAATTTTAGATCCATCATATAATGTTTTCTCAATCTCTGTAATTTCATGTATCTATGGCTTAAATGTGATAGCGTGCACCTTTTCATAGCTATTTGCACTGCATCAAAAGCGATATGACTAGATGAGATTCAACAATACGAACTACGTTACTTTTTGATTGCATTTACATTCGTATTTAGTAAACGAAGATCGTTTAGACTAATATTTGAATTATTATTAATCATATTTTATATGGAGATATGATAGAATTCCTGATGTACTTGAATCAAGGATGAGGCTAGATGTGAAACTTGGAATAATTGTGATTTGAGCAATTGTTAGAAAACCACACCGCTACCCAATGAATGTGGCCGAGGCCTCCCGGTATTTTCCATATAAGAAAGGGGACAAATTCCACTGGCAAAAAAGGAACNGGTGTCTACTATAACAGTGCTTATATCCGTGTCCATTGGATCTTTTTATATATCGCGTTCCATATTTCGCTTTATCGGTAGATGTATTCTTCTGTACATTTCAGTGTATATCTTTGCTTTTTTGCGAAAGATGTGGCTTTTGAACAGATCTAGACCATACAATCTTCTTAATTACAGACGAGGTTAAATAATCTTGGGTGATGGTTTACTTCTCCCTCTTCCTCCATTAGCCATGTCGCTCATACTATACAGCGCTGTCTTTTATTTCTATGTCTTTTGTTATATTTTGGTTTTTCCTATTTTTCACAACATCCATTACTTATTCCGATTGCCAATCTTGGAAATTTCCTATAGATTAACTCTAAACAGGATTACAATGTATTTCTCCAACGTTCTGTTTGGGAACAGCGTAAACCTCCATGATGGACGAAGGTTCAACTATAAATATAAAATGAATTTTAATTATTTTTACCCTGTTCTGGAAATGTCTAATTGCTAAGCGCACTTATATTAAAGTAAATTCTTTTTTTATTGTTGAATGTGTGTCTGTATCACTAATTCCTGATTAGATAAATCCTGATTGTTAATATCCATGGTTCCTCAATTATCGTGCTCGCTCAACCGTCGTGGATTCAATCAACAAATTCGAACGGCTCGGACTATTTATTGATGTGAATACTCCAACCCGTGCTCGTTCAGCAAGATCAAATGAAAACATGAAAACCGCTTTGGGTGCATTTTGAAAATAATGCTACAGAAGCTGTTTCATTGAATGAAATGTATTGTAGAACGATGTTGACTGGAGTTGATGTTTTGGTTGATCCTACGGACATAAGACAAGTTTTATTTTTAAAGATGCAGTTTCAAACCACGTGAATCTTTTATGTTATTGTACTGAAAATTTGTTGAACATGTGATCTCTCGAAACTGAGTTCGTTAATCTTCTGTCTTTTGAACTACGTGAAGACTACAATTCAAAAACTCAAAGAAAACAGTGCAGAAATTGATAACCAGCTTTTAAGAATATCTGTAATGACAATTCTAAAAAATAAAAAAAATCCTTATAAATACAACATACATAAGAGCACTTTATTTAATGCATTAACATTGTAAATAGTACAAATTATACATTATACAAGTTATTTGATTACTAAACTTTTTCAGTAGCAATCTTTCTATCAATACATCTGGTTCCAATTCCAACTGACTCACTAACCAAGTCAGACATTAAGTTTAGTCAAATGGTAGTCTTCTTTACCTTCTTCTAATAGGAAAGATTTGAAAAACCCCAGTTTAAGACAAAAATCTTGATTTAAATCGTTAATACATCGAAATACATAGCACCATACAACACAAAACAAACACCTGTATGTAGAAAACATATATTTTTTAAATTTCAAAAATTACCGTTTTTTGCACAATAATGGTTAAATGAAAAGAAGATGTTTATGTTAATTTTAGTTAATTAGTAGCAATTTTTAAGTCAATGTGTTAAGCGTCTCTTGCAAATTATATATCTTGTTTTTTACTCGAACTCCTTATTTATGACTCATGAGTGAAGTTTAATTCATAAAAATCCCATTAGTAAGCTTTGTATCATAAATTTGTGATCATTTTCGATTTAAAATTTAAATTATTTGAATTAACTTCAATTTTATTTATGTGAAATAATTTTCTACTTTTATTATAAAACTTGGATACGTTTTTCGTTATAAAGTCGCATCTTATATACACAGATACAGCGGGTTATAAACTTGTTGGAAACGCAATAAATTCGAACCGAGTCGTGTTGCTCGATGACAAAAGTTTGTAATCCCCACAAGTTTAAATGAAACACGACGCAGCGCTGTCTGTGTTGTAGAAGGCTTTAATAACTTTTCCAAGTAGAATCGTGTTTTAAAAACTTTATGAATTTTCATTGAATAGTAAAAAAAAACTTATTGTTATTTTATTTTACAGAAAAGAAGATGGTATGTTGAGAACAATGAACGCTGAAAAACTTCTAAAAACAATTCCGGTTCTTCAAACCCAGTTAGATGCTTTGTTGGAATTTGACTGTTCGGCAAACGATTTATCAAATGGTGTTATTAATATGTGTTTTATGTTGATGTTCAGGGACCTAATTAGGCTTTTTGCGTGTTACAATGATGGTATTATTAATTTATTAGGTAAGAAAGTTTATTTCTTTAAACATTTTGATAAATTAAATCTTTAATTTTCAGAAAAATACTTCGATATGAACAAAAAACAATGTAAAGAAGCTTTAGATATTTACAAAAAATTCTTAGTGCGAATGGATAGGGTGGGCGAATTCTTGAAAGTAGCCGAAAACGTTGGAATAGATAAAGGTGATATTCCCGATTTAACTAAAGCTCCTAGTAGTCTTTTGGAAGCTTTGGAACAACATTTACAATACATGGAAGGCAAAAATAAATCGAGTACTTCTACTACTGTTACAACTCAGTCTACTAGCACAATAACAACCAGGTAATTTTAATTTTACTCTTTATTGACGGTATTTTAAGAAATAATTTATTTAAATTATTATCTTTATTTGATGAAACAGCAATCAAAAAAATGTTAGATCTGGAGTTAGCGCTCTTTCATCAACGAGTTCTAGTTTTGGTGCTGCCAATGGACGTTTAGATTCACATGGAAATGGTATTGATGAAAGTCTTAAATTAAAAGCTTTACAAGAGGAAGAAGAAGCAATAAATCAATTTAATAAAGTAAGACTGTGTCATAATAAAAAAATTAAATTTAATTCCAACGTAACTATTTTTGGTTTTAAGCTTTAAGTTTTATTTTGGGGCAAATCCGTCTTATTTTCAACTTTTTTATTTTTAGTCAAAACAAACAACTCACACTATCACCGGAAATTCAAATAACAACCCATTCTTGGGCACAACAACCAGCAGTAGTACATCATCTTCTCAATCGACACCCGTTGTTGATTTCTTTGGAGCAGATCCCATTCCAACAGCCATTCAAAGCAAAGCTTCTGATGATTTACTTCAACTTAGCAATCCGTTTTCCGATGCTTTTGGACAAACAACAACTACAATGCCAGCAATATCGACAATGCCAGCGCTTAATATGTACCCACAGGCAAATCCATGGATGACCAATGGTAAATAAATTTTAATCAATATTTAAATGATGTTCTTATTTATATTTTTTTTCAAGGATTTTCATCTGTTCAATCTGTCCAATCGGTTCAACAACCAACACCATTAGCTGGACCGTTTGTATCAGAAAGCAATTTTAATTCGGTGTTTGGAAATAATGATTCATCCAATAGTAAGTTTTAGTTAATAATTTTTATTTTAATTTAGAGAAAAGTACATAAAAATTTCACCCATTTAACCTTTTCACAAAACGTCTTCAGCTATCTGACGGCATGCATGTTATTGCACTTGTATCAAATTTGTCTTTAAATAGTATGTGTGTCATAAATATATAACAAAAATAATTTAATAAAAAAAAAAACATATTTTAATCCTTTAACGAATATTTTTATTCACGTTTCTATATAATTTATAAATGTATATGGGTTTTCCAAAATGAATTCAAAACATGACTACTTATCTTTATAAATACATTATGTTCAAAAAGTAATCTCATCGCAGGCGCATACCAGAGTCGTCTTGAACGTTCAACGTATCATATTCCTGAGATTTTTTGTTCCAAGATGGACCAAACGGGGTAATTCATTGGATTGAAATTAAACGTAACCAAACAGCACTTCGGAAGTGGTGATTATATTGGCCGAATATGACGGCGCCCAGTTTTGCTGAAGAATAAATTCTTCTTGCTTGAAGTGTTCCGCCATCCACGGTCCAAGAACATCTCGTTAAACTCGTAGTTGATAGCTGAGGGCGTTGATCTTGATGTTCTGGTCAATAAAACCAAAGGCGTTTTCCCAATGGTGCAGATGCTGGCCCAAACCATCACAGAAGCAGGGAAATGGCTGCGATCGTTGATTTTTGCAGCAGCTGTCTTCTGCTGATCCTTTATGAGTAATTAACGTTAACGCTACTATACCTTCTTCCTATCAATGAAGAGAAGATCTAGTAGCTTTGAAGTTTTAGCTTTCTTCTGACGATGTACCAAGTTGTACAGGGTGGACAAATTTGAGTGTTATTATAGGCTATCTCAGAAACTATAAGAGATACGCAAAAAGTAGGTGCTATGTCTCGGTGTCTTTTTCTGAGACCAATCCAATCCCGCAAACCAAATATCTATCTTCTTTTGTTTTTAAGTTATAGCCAAAAAGTCAAATTTTAGCGACTTCAAAAAATGTTTATATTTTGTTTATTTTTGAAATTAGAGAAATGGGGTTAATACATTCTTAAGACACTTTTTTGAGTAGAATATACTGCCGTTGAAAAATTTAAACATTTGGGCACTTTTAAATGGAAACTCCTATTTCTGTAAGAGATAAGGAAAAATGATATCAGTGTCTGAGGCTCGATTTTTATAAGAAACTTAATGGCGAAAACCACATATAGATATCTCTTACGGTTTCAGAGATATAGGTGTTTTTCAAAAAAGTGCATTTTCGAAAAGTCGTCATAACTTTTTTCTTCCTTTCTGTGAAAACATTTCCAAAGCAACTTTTTAGGTAGAATTCGATGGAATAAGTTAGCTTTCCCTCAAAGCAATATTTTAGCAGTTATTGACATAAAAATGATTTTTTTTAATGGAACATCCTATATATTTTTGCTAATTCGAGGAGAGCATAAAATTTCCTTTCCAAAAATATAGCACATTTAATATTTCGTTCAAGTGAAGTATACAACTTTAAAACTTATATGTGCAGATTTTGAAAGTTTGCTTTGGAAATAAAAGAAAAACGTGATTATATTTATAAGTAGTATCAAGATAGTTGGTTACAATGAATTAAAACATAAACTCATAAACGAAAAGCAGATTAAATTAATAAAATTTATCTTATTATAAAACAAGAATAAATATATGGCAACAAAAGTAAACCCCTATTCTATACAGGTGTCCGGAAATGACGTGTACAACGCAAGACCACAAGTACCATGACCAAAAATATGATGATTTAACTCAACTTATCTATATACAAAATTGCTTAGTTTTTTTAAATAAGTCGAAAAATCCTCAATGGATTTTGTTCATTTTTTGGTCATGCGTTTGTATCAGTGGACTACAGCTATTTGTGGAATAAACTCTAATTTCGAAAATTATAGGGTGTTTAAAAACTTTGTCACAACAAATTATGCATTCATATCTTTTTAACCCCCTTTACAAACACTACCATTCTTTTTTTTTTGAGTAGTTACTTTAATTTAGAAACTATTTTCTCTCTTACAAAATTTCAGTTGGGTGAACGGTTTAGCCATAAAAAAATAACTAATAAATAAGGTAACGCTAATAACGTTTTTTTTTAATAGTTGGCTAGGTATAATTAATTTTAAAAACAAAACCAGTTTATCACTTAAACTTGACAGCGGTATTCGTATTTTTTGTTTTGCGTTTTATCTTTGATTCATCATGAATGTTTAACACCCTCTAGCGGCTAAACTAAGCAATTTTGTATATAGATAAGTTGAGTTAAACCATCATATTTTTGGTCAAGATACTTGTGGTCTTGCGTGTTGTGCACGTCATTTCGGGACACCTTTAGGAAATGTTCAAAATGTCCCCAAAATGGTTTGTGTTATACACAGTCGACATCTTTTTTTTTAGCCATTTTTGCCGAGTTGATAAACTCAATGGGCCTAAGTGTTGCAAAAGCGTTCACAACTGCGGCTTCTAATTGCTGTCGGGAATTTATTGGCTGTTTATAGATAACATCTTTCAATCTTCCCCATAGGAAAAAATCCATAGGTGTTAGGTCTGGTGACCAAGCCGCCCAGCGAATAGAACCTTGGTCAAAAAATTGGTGACAATAGCAGCATTGTGAGGCGGTGCACCATCATGTTGAAAAAATACATTTCTCAGGTGCGCTAAAGGTAAATCGTCAACAACAGGTTCGATTTGTTGCCTAAATATGTTCAAATATTTTATTTGTGCACCAGCACTACTCACATACGCTTCATCTGTCCAAATACAATTTAAACAAATATTGCGTGCTTCGTCGCATTTTTTCCAAGAGCCATTGGCAAAAATTCATGCGCCGTTCAAGATCTCCTGGTCTGAGGTAATGAACTTTGCTAGTTCTGTATGGCTTAAATCTGAATTCGCCTAGCTTTAGACATTATTTTAAACGTTGATGACAACTAAGTAATACTCTAACGATAAGCACTAACACTTACAACTTGAATCAAAATTTGACAGATAGATACTCATAAACAAAGCATTTGTTTTATTGAAACGCCGTCAAAGCCCACTTGCCTACTAGTACGCAATTGAAAATCTTAAAAGTTTCCAAGTTGTACATTTCAACGAAGACCTGAACGAGATATCATGTGTGCTATATTTTTGGAAAGAAAATTTTATGCTCTCGTCGAATTTGCAAAAATATATACGATGTTCCATTTAAAAAAAATTATTTTTATTTCAATAACCACTAAAATATTGCTTTGAGGGAAAGATAACTTATTCCATCGAGTTCTACATAAAAAGTTGCTTTGGAAATGTTTTCACATAAAGGATATCAATAAGAAAAAAGTTATGACGACTTTTCGAAAATGCACTTTTTTGAAAAACAGCCTGTATCTGTCAAACCGTAAGAGATATCGATATGCGGTTTTCGCCATTAAGTTTCTTATAAAAATCGGGCGTCAGACACTGATATCATTTTTCCTCTATCTCTTATACAAAGAGGAGTTTCCCTTTAAAAGTGTCCAATTTGGTCCACCCTGTACAGTTACCGAAGCCACGCTCCCTTGCCATTTTCTTATCAAGTATTCCGAGTTACGTTGAACGCGACAAAGTACTTTCTGCACATTCTTAGGAGTCGTGGCGGTGATTGGACGACTTCTCCTAGGACACTTTACATCCCTCCAGTCTCCCTGTAACGTTTGACGGCTTTATAGACAGTTAGTTTCTTGAAACATCGTTCATCCAATTTCCGCCGTCTTCATTTCCGATTTGTGCAGCTCAACAACAGTGATAAAACAGTTTAAAAAATTAAAATAATATTTAGGGGACAAACTTACATGACGAATTCAATGGAATCCTTTTTTGAGAAACTTTTTGAACATCCTGTAGATTGTTTTAATACTTTTTGTATCTAACTTCAAAAATTAATTATCATTTAATAACTGATTAAATGATATGATTGAAACATCTTCTTTTGTATAATAAATTTGTTGAAGGATTAAAAAAAAAGTTTTTGAAATAAAAATTATTACTATTTTTGATTTATATTTGCAATGAACTTATGTTATATATTTATCTTTACTAATTGTGTTTTTGTTTTCTGCAAGCTGCTGAAGGCAATGCTCAATCGTACAATCCCTTCTTGGTGGACGATCCGGTTCCTTCTCTTCTTCTCTTAGATCCCGAATCCCCGACTAAATCCTCGGCAAAACCCATTCAAGACGTGCTCGACTTTTTTCAAAAAGAGAAAACGTCGAGTTTGATCGATTCCTTAAAAGATAGTTCAAACACCACCGTTAGTAACAAAGTTCCGCCACCGTGTCCTCCACGTCCCGAAAACATCCAAAATCTGTTAGAGATTTAACAATAACACTCTAATATCATTTTTGACAATAAAATCACGACTTCATATATCACTGCCAATGAAGAAATGCCTGCTATTTCATATACGACACCGGTAATATAATTTTATACCTGTATTTCCTGTGTAAGTTTTTGAAATAACCCTGATGGTAAATGCGGTTTGTTATTGAAATAGATTTTTATTTATCAATAGACAAGGGTGTTCTTCAAAATAAAAGGAAAGTAATAGATTTCGTTTGTATACCAACAAATTAATTATGAAAGTCTTTAATAAATTTGTGGCCTTTTATATTGTACAATAATATTTTTAGTAGTTTGCTAGTAAAAAGTTAATTTAGAAAATATGATAAGGAAACGAATTAAAATTTATATAGTTAGTTTATTAAGACTTTTAGCATGAATATTATCTTTATAAAGTTGAATCCGTACTTTTTGAAATCGTACTTTTTAATCTTTACGTAATCCCACTTAATATTAATATCTTTTTTATTGAAACTGAAACCAAAAGGGATTAATTATCCATTTTAACATGGTTCTGGATTTTAATTTTGCATTTAATAATTTTAAAATAAAACTTTTGTACTTTAATTTAAACTAAGCAATTTATGATTAATTAGTAATTTATGTTCTGGCAGTCAATGTGTTAATTTCGTCAAGAAATTCACCATTTATATTGATACCAGCTCAAAAGCATAATAAATAAAAGAATGTTTGTGATATCTTAATAATAAAGATCCAATTTAAGATATTACGTATATACTACGTCATATAACAATATAATGTATTAAATGAACTGTTAAAGACTTTCATAATTAGATTGTTACTTTTAAAACATCACATCGTTAATCATTTCGACAAAAAAAAAGGAAAACATTCATATTAAATTTATTCTAAAAATACCTAATTAATGAAATGTACCCTAATTAGTATTGTGGCTCTTCCAGTTTAAGTAAATGTAGCCCCTTTAAATGCTACATTTGAACTCTATGTAAACAAAAAAAGCAAATAACTTAAAAAATAATACACTTCTTTTAATAATACGAAAAATGTGATCCATTTCGTGTGTTAACCACGTAACGTATTGCATGTTTGTTGTATATATCGCCGAAACTATGTACTTAATAACTTCATCACATCATAAATTAGCTATATTAAGAGTCCTGTCAACTACTAACCCCCATACCAACCAAAAATAAACAACAAGGTGAAAGCAGTACAATTTGTACAAATCCGTGTGCTTCTACAGCTTTTGATTCGTTAGGCGGTGTCTTGCAACCGACGTCTTTGACTTCAAACTCGAGCTCAACCGGTTCCCATTTGACCAACAATAATGGCAACAACAATAACATTCAACATAATCAACAATCTCAACAACAACAGACCAGTGCCTTAATTACCGGGGATTTGGAGTCTAGTCTTGCTTCGTTAGCTGAAAATTTGTCTATACATAATAGACAACCGGTTAAGTAAGTTTTTTCTTATAGTTTTGCGTGTTTTTGGGTTGTCTAATGGGGTTAATTTTTTTTATTTAGAAGCGTTCAATGGAATTCGCCTAAAAACGGATCAAAAGTAAGCAATAATTGGACTCCTCAACCAATGGCAGCGACAACTGGAGCTGGTTATAAACCGATGAATCAATCGATGTCGATGACACAACAAGTTAGCATGCAACCAACTTTATTTCCTACAATGCAACCACAATTAGTGGTAAGTACTTTTTACAACTATGTCTAAGGTTAGTTCTAGTACTTCTAGTGTTAGTTCTAGTTTTACTTGATATTCGGCGTTAGATTGTTATTTTTTGAACGAAACATAGAACTAACACTAGATTTAGAACTAGAATCATTCGGGTTTAGCCGCACGTCTCTCAAGACGGCTAAACCCAAATGATTTTTGTTCTAGGTCTAGTGTTAGTTCTAGTGACACTGCTAGTGCAAAACTAGAACCCTTATATATTGATTCTTTCTTTTAAGAATCTATAAACAAGGCTAGAACTAACATTAGACCTAGAACTAGAAACATTCGGATTTAGTCACACGTCTTTCAAGACGGCTAAACTCGAAGGATTCTAGTTCTGGGTCTAATGTTAGTTTTAGTGACAGTGCTACTGCAAAAGTAGAACTAACACTAGACCTAGAACTAGAAACATTCGCATTTAGCTGCACGTCTCTCAAGACGGCTAAATCCGAATGTTTCTAGTTCAAGGTGTAGTGTTAGTTCTAGTAACAGTGCTAGTACAAAACTAGAACCCTTGTATATGTATAGATTCTTTCTTTTAAGAATCTATAAACAAGGCTAGACCTAACACTAGACCTAGAACTAGAAACATTCGGATTTAGCCGCACGTCTCTCAAAACGGCTAAACCCGAACGATTCTAGTCCTAGGTCTTGTGTTAGTTCTAGTGATAGTGCTGGTGTATAACCAGAACTAACACTAGAAATGGAACTAGAAAGTATCGGGTTTAGCCGTGCGTATATCTAACGCTGAATAGCAACTAAAAATAAAATTAACATTAGCGTTAGAACTAACACTAGACCTAGAAACATTCGGGTTTACTCGCACATCTCTCAAGAGGGCTAAACCCGAATGATTCTAGTTCTAGATCTTGTGTTAGTTCTAGTGATAGTGCTAGTGCAGAACTAGAACTACACTAGACCTAGAAATGTTTGTAGTTCTAAGTCTACTGTTAGTTGTAGTTTTATACTAGCACAGTTACTATGTAAAACTAACACTATACCCAGAACTATCAATCATTTGGGTTGAGTCGCACGACTCTAAAGACGGTTAAACCCATATACTAGACTAACAATAGTTCTAGAATTAACACTAGACCTAGAAATGTTTCTAGTTTTAGGTCTAATGTTAATTCTAGTGACAGTGCTAGTGTAAAACTAGAACTAACACTTTTTAGGTTTTTTTTTAATTATTTTTATATTCAGGGATTTCATTTTCAATGGTTACGCGAGAATTGGCATAGAATATGGATTGGCATAGTTCTAAGAATTCCAGATCCAATCCAGAGATCAGTAATTTCTAAATTTATTCAAAAAATTAAATGGTGTATCAAGAATTCATACGAATTTGCATGGGTTTGCAGATATTTTTAGATTACATCCAAATTATTTTAGAAGATTTTTAAAGATATCAGAATATTACAAACTATAATGATTTCTAGAAAATTAAAAGGATTACTAACAAAACGCTGTTTCTCCTAAGGTTATATACAAATTTTTAAGAATTGTTACAGATTCAGGAGTGTTTTTACGGTTGTCTAAACATTTGTATTGACTTCCAGGTATTTCTAGAATATTAGATTGTCCAGGTTTTTGTTTTAATTTTTTCTATTCCCAGAATTTTAAAATATATCCAGAGAACTTCTAAAGTTTGTTAATAACATCTAGAAATTTTTAACAATTTTCTGATTAAATTCCAAATATATACAAGGATTTCATTTTGAAGGATTTTATATAGTTTGTCAAGGATATCTAAGTATCCTTAAAGATTTTAAGATTTCCCAAAATTATTTTATATATCAAATCCTAAATATATTCAAAAATGTTTCTAAATTTTAGAGGATATCCATACAATTTATTGTAGTTTACAGGATATTCAAGAGGTTATTAAGAAAATGTAGGATATCCTTAGGTTATCAAAATATATTTAAGAATTTTTACTGCTCTTAAATATTCTCCGAGATATCCAAAGATTTTTTCTGATTTCCAACTTTTCAGAGGATTTTCACAAATTTTCAGAAAATTTAAAAGGTTAGCCTAGGATATCTAGGAATTTTTAACAATTTTTAAACAGTTTTAAGAATCTCTAGGGATTTCAAACGTGTGTATAGTCACTCTTATGAGGTTTTGATAAGCTTCCAGAAAATTCATAAGGATTGTCAACGATATCCATGAATCCTTGAAAACGTTCTAAGATTTCTAGAAATATTGTAATCTCTAAAATTTCCATATACCGGGTGTTTCATTTAAAATGACATATGCTTATATCTCAAAAACAAAAACTCGAATCGAAAAAAGTTTCGAGTAAACATTTTTTGGTGAAAAATTGTACATATGAACAGATTTTTTTCAGGGTTGCCTAAATGCCCTTCTGACGTCATTTTTATTTTTTCAAATGGCACATATGCTTTTTTCTTGCAAAGTCTTAAACGGCTTGACAAACTGATTACTTTTTTAAATTTTTTTTAAACTCTCCGTTGTGAAGATATCAACAAAAACAATAATAAAATGACATGTTTCATTATGTAATTAAAAAAATTAATTAATAAAAACAAACGATTTAATTAATCGTAAAATAATATTAAAATTCTTCTTAATTTTTGAAATCGACGATTTCGATTTTAAATCGTTCAAGCGAAAAAATCATTGTGATCAAAGCAAAAATGGAGCACTTCTCTACTCCACAGAAAATTTATGTTCGAAAATTTCCTGGAAAAAGAGCGCCTTGTCCTAAAACTTTATATCGAATAGTTACCAAATTTCTGGAATGTGGTAACGTGGCGGAAAAAAAAACACGTGCAAGATCAGTTACGAATTAACAGAATCAAATAGCTGTTTTAGCAGCTGTAGATGTTAATCCTCATGTAAGTTGCCGTTAATTGTCAAAAGATTCAGGCATTTCGTTAACGAGTGTACATCGGATTTTGAAACTTAATAAGTTTCATCCGTATCATGTCTCTCTACACCAGAGATGCACAGACCACGGCCCGCCGGTCGAATACTGGTGGCCCGCCGACAGTAAAAATAATATTCTCGTACATTCGAAAAATAATAAATATTAAAGTACTTTGTTTCTTTTGATATTGTAAGCGACGTCCATAAAACTGAGACGGGAGCTTATTGGTCAGCAAGCTATGTTTATAAAACCTATTCAAAATTCAGAAACAGCTACAGAAGTTAGTTATGAAATTTCTCGAATGATAGCAAAGCGAAGTCGCCCCTTCAATGATGGGGATTTTGTAAAAGGATGCATAGAAATTGCCGCTAAGAAAATGTGTCCAGAAGCAGCAAAAAAGTTCGAGAAAATTCAACTGAATCGTATGACTATCCAAAGACGAATTATGTCTTTGTCAGGTAATATTGCGGAACAATTAACTGAAAAAACTAAGATCATTGAATTTTTTTCATTAGCACTCGACGAATCCACTGATATTAGTTTCACAGCTCAACTTCTCATATTCATACGAGGTGTTACTCAAGATTTTGAAGTCTNTTTCAGAAAATTTAAAAGGTTAGCCTCGGGTATCTAGGAATTTTTAACAATTTTTAAACAGTTTTAAGAATCTCTAGGGATTTCAAACGTGTGTATAGTCACTCTTATGAGGTTTTGATAAGCTTCCAGAAAATTCATAAGGATTGTCAACGATATCCATGAATCCTTGAAAACGTTCTAAGATTTCTAGAAATATTGTAATCTCTAAAATTTCCATATACCGTGTGTTTCATTTAATATGACATATGTTTATATCTCAAAAACAAAAACTCGAATCGAAAAAATTTCGAGTAAACATTATTTGGTGAGAAGGGGGACACATTGTACATATGAACAGAATTTTTTTCAGGGTTGCCTAAAGGCCCTTCTGACGTAATTTTTATTTTTTCAAATGGCACATATACTTTTTTCTTTCAAACTCTTAAACAACTTGATAAACTGATTACCTTTTGCTTAAAAAATTTTTTTTTTATGTCTCCGGTGTGAAGTTATCAACAAAAACAATAATAAAATAACATGTTTCATTATGTAATTAAAAAAAATTAATTAATAAAAAAACACGATTTAATTAATCGTAAAATAATATTAAAATTCTTCTTAACTTTTGAAATCGACGATTTCGATTTATAATCGTTCAAGCGAAAAAATCATTGTGATCAAAGCAAAAATGGAGCACTTCTCTACTCCACAGAAAATTCAAATGGTGTTAGCTTACGGTGAAAGTCGTGAAAATTTCGTTGAGGCCCATCGCATTTATGTTCGAAAATTTCCTGGAAAAAGAGCGCATTGTCCTAAAACTTTATATTGAATAGTTACAAAATTTCTGGAATGTGGTAACGTGGAGGGAAAAAAACAAACACGTGCAAGATCAGTTACGAATGAACAGAATCAAATAGCTGTTTTAGCAGCTGTAGATGTTAATCCTCATGTAAGTTGCCGTTAATTGTCAAAAGATTCAGGCATTCCGTTAACGAGTGTACATCGGATTTTGAAACTTAATAAATTTCATCCGTATCATGTCTCCCTACACCAACAATTACATGGCGATAATTTCGAAAATCGTGTGCAATTTTGTACTTGGACTATGGAAAAATTAAGATTGAATGAAAATTTTTCCTTCAATGTACTATTTTCCGACGACCAAGTAAATCGTCATAACATGCACTACTGGTCACATGAAAATCCTCGTTGGATAAGACAAGTTGATCATCAAAAACCTTGGTCAGTTCAAGTACAGTAGAATCTAACAGGACTGCTGCATCTATTGTATTTTTGTAGTCCACTACGGGTTGGTTGCCCGCACTCTACGTCACACTATTTGCCACGCCTGGTAACTGTCTGTGTTTTAAGATGTTATATGATAGATATTAATACGTCTAAAAACATAAAACTTCAAAAATAATATGAAGACGTCTAGGATATAACCTTTAAAAATACACAGTAAACGCATAGACCATAACAAGAGCTGGGCGTGGAAAATGGTGTGACGTAGTTTGCGGGCAGGTTGTCACAACAACGGATGTAGCAGTCCTGTTAGATTCTACTGTCCTTGGGTCAGTTAACGTCTGGTGCGGCATTGTTAGCAATAAAATAATTGGATTTATTTTTTATTGATGGCAATTTGAATGGCAAAAAGTATGGGAATTTTTTGTTGAACGATTTACCGGTTTTGTTTGAAGACCTTACTCTGAAGCGAAGACTTGCGCTATGGTATCAGCATGATGGATGTCCATCTCATTATGCTCTAGCCGCAAGAGAAGTTTTAGACGAAATGTTTCCTGAAAAATGGATAGGATGTAATGGACCGGTGAATTGGCCAGCTAGATCACCCGACTTAACTTCTCCTGATTTCTTTCTTTCTTCTTCCTATATCGATTTGGTTTTTACCTTCCAAAGTGTTATTAATTAGATACCGGGAATTTCATATAACTCCTAATATGCACTTGTACTGCCCACATAAAATGCAACATAGCTTAATAGTACAGGTATTGGGTAGTTTTGCAAAGGAAAAGTTTTGCTTGGAAAAGGTGACGTCCTTATGATAACTCTGAGTTTCCGCCTTAAGAACAATTAAAACTAGAACTAACACTAGACCTAGAAATGTTTCTAGTTCTAGAATTCTAAACTTTTTCGATTCGAGTTTTTGTTTTTGAGATATAAGCATATGTCATTTTAAATGAAACACCCGGTATATGGAAATTTTAGAGATTACAAAATTCCTAGAAATCTTAGGAAGTTTTTAAGGATTCATGGATAACCTTGACAATCCTTATGAATTTTCTTGAAGCTTATCAAAACCTCATAAGAGTCCCTAAATTCGTATGAATTCTTGATACATCATTTAATTTTCTGAATAAATTTAGAAATTACTGATCTCTGGATTGGATCTGGAATTCTTAGAAATATGCCAATCCATATTCTATGCCAATTCTCGCGTAACCATTGAAAATGAAATCCCTGAATATATTAAAATAATTTAAAAAAATGTTTGTTCTTAAACTGGATATATACTGTTAAATGTCAAACATTGACAAATGAGTGTTCCACAACAGCCGTGCGTGATATCAATTTATGCATTAACTGGTTGTATCTCAGTTACCTTTGAGAATTGAGTACATGTTTTTAGGAACTTTTCTGCTTAAAATGAACAAATCTATAACATATTAACGTATGTAGCATTCCTCATGAAACACCTGTATAGATTCTTTTTTCTAAGAATCCATAAATAAGGCTACAACTAACACTAGACCTAGAACTAGAAACATTCGGATTTAGCCGCACGTCACTTACGACGGCCAAATCCGCATGATTCTAGTTCTGGGTTTAGTGTTAGTTCTAGTAACAGTGCAAATGCAAAACTAGAACTAACACTAGACCTAGAACTAGAAACATTCGCATTTAGCCGCACGTTTCTTAAGACGGCTAAATCCGAATGATTCTAGTTCTGGGTTTGGTGTTAGTTCTAGTGACAGTGCTAGTACAAAACTAGAACTACCACTAGATCTAGAACTACAAACATAGAATATTTCGGACTTAGCCGTACGTCTTCTTTCATGTAATGGACTTTTGGCTATAATTTCTTTTTGTTTTGAATTTTTTAGGGAATGCGTCCAATGGTATCTCCAATGCCAAATCCGATAATGCAATCGAGACCAGGAGGAATGCCACAAGCGCCGAATTCAATGAATCAACAATCGTTACTATTCCACTAAAATAATAAGTAAAAAGAAAAAAATAATAATGAGTCGTAACGTATCTGTCGTTTAAAAAAGTAAAACAAATCGTGGTATAAATATTTTTTCTTAAACATTTTTTTTGTATATAATGTAAATCAGCGTTAACCGACACAATCAACAGTACAATAACTCTTCTGTACATATCCATTGTTTCTCCCAAAATAAATAAATAACTATTAAAAGAAAATATAAAGCAACCTGCTAAATTAAATTGGTGCACGTTTAAAGCACAACTTTTAATTAAATATATTTAGCGTTTAAAATACTGTTTAGTGCTACTCGTGCGAAGCTATCAATGTACTTTGTTGTCAATTTAGGCTTTAAGATCTACATTTTCCCTTAGTACTTTTCCGTAGGTGTAATGTTATTAAATTAAATTCAGCAATGCGTAAAATGCAACAATTTTTTTTTAATTAAGATTAAATTTTTTATCTTCATTCGAAAAGGAATCTAAAAAGAGACAATAACGTTAAATGAAATTGAAGTAAAAAAAATATTTGCATATCATTTTACCGTGTAAATTAAGGGATTCAAAGAGACTGTTAAAGTATATCAAAAATTTAATTCGATCAAAATTGGGCCACTTCTTCAGCGAAACGTAAAATTATGCCATAATATAAATATGTTATGTATTGCCATTTAGTTAGATAATCTTTTTACTGATTAGAGTAAGCAAAAAAAAAAACGAATTGATATAAAAATGATGGGAAAAGAAAAATGGTGCAATGTGTTTACTTATTTTTTTATGAACCCTCTTCGTTTTTGGATGATTATTTTTTATACATAATATTTCTCTAAAGATTTTTCTTTGTTTTGTGGGGGTACGTCCCTATTATTATGAAACATTTTAGTATTATATCATTAAAACAAAAAGGAAGCAGAGCTACTTGTTTGTATATATTTACACCTTATATAGATGTGTTAACCTAATATTGTACTATATAAATATTATTTAAATACATTTTTTTGAATATCTGTATATTTAGAGTTTCTTTTATTTCCTTAATAGTTTTGACGCACGTCTTTCTAGACGGCTAAACCCGAATGATTCTAGTCCTAAGTCTAGTGTTAGTTTTAATGATAGTGCTAGTCCAAAAGCAGAACTAACACTAGACCTAGAACTAGAAACATTCGGGTTTAGCCGCACGTCTTTCAAGACGGCTAAACCCGAATGATTCTAGTTCTAAGTCTAGTGTTAGTTCTAGTAACAGTTTTAATGTAAAACTAGAACTAACACTAAACCTAGAACTAGAAACATTCGGATTTTATCGCACGTCTCTTAAGACGGCTAAATCCGAATGATTCTAGGTTTAGTGTTAGTCCTAGTGACAATGCTAATGCAAAACTAGAATTAACACTAAATCTAATACTAGCAACATTTGAGTGTAGCCGTCTTAAAAGACGTATGGCTAAACCCGAATGTTTCTAGTTCTATTGTTAGTTCTTATTTTAGTTGTTATACAGCGTTAGATTGTTGTATATCTTTATTGAACTAAAAGTAGAACTAATACAGAACGCAACCGTGTGGATGGCTGCTTGCATTTGTGTGCATTAAAATTATTCATTCAAACAGTTTAAAGTGCAAATTAAAAATTTTTCATATAACGGGCACTCCCTTCCCCGTATGAACCCGTTATACGGAGGTTTTACTGTAGTAGTTGTAATTGTGACTGTTTTATTATCAAACCAAATAATTCTCTTATTACAACCTACAAATATCGTAGAGACCAATACAGAAAAAGGAAACAGGTCAAGTATTTCACTTGTAAAATATAAGACGAAGTTAGAATAAAGCTATGCGACTGCTATGGGAGTAACTATTTGACTGTTAGCGACAAAATTTACTTGTAACATGCCTATTGCCATAGTAATGAATTGCTACCAAAACTACTACCATCGCTAGAAAATTTTATACTTTTGGTGTAACAATAGAGTTATACGTAAATTTGACGGTTTACACTCCAATTTGACGCTAAGGGTAAAACCATGCCCCTCCGTAGTTATTGCCATAGCAGTCGATTGCTACAACGTCGGCTTAACGAGGTCTGTTATTATCGAGGTTTTACTGGATTAACATATTTTTTTTTATAAAAAAATTATTTATTCGCAAAATAGAAATACAAAAATACATGGCAGCCTTAAAACAATAACAACTAAACGTAAGTTCAACTTAAAAAATACTGGTATTTTCTACAACAGTGAGCAAATACACAATTTTTATTTTTTTCAATTATTTATTAAGACGGAGTTTGCGTTAACCTCTTCTTCATCAATTTCTCCCAAACCTGAGCTGTTTCCGCTAAAAGTATCTTCATAATATCATTAGTCAATTCATCTTTCACTACAACTTCATCTTCGTCGTAGTTCGTCCATTCCGATTCTTCCGCTTGAGATTCAACTATTAATATTTCGTCGACGTGATCCCGTTTTTTCCTACACCACTTCGTTATTAAATTCTCTTTTAATACATCTTTTTCGAATCCTATCAACACTTTAATTTCTTTGAAAAGATGTTGTCGCAATTCTAATTCGTTAAACGGTTTTCTTTGTGCCAAAAACTTTTTGTTCACTTTCATCCACGAAGGTTTCGGTTTTTCCACAAATTGTCGATAATGTTCAACAGCAAGTTCTTTACCCAAATCAAAAACGTACTCATAACATTGTTTATCTATATTCGCGTTTCGTAAAGAAAATGTACGTTTATCTCTATCTGTTAATTGAATTACTTCTAAAGTTCCTTTGAAGTAACTGTTATGTAGTATCCTCGCGATATTACAAACAATTATATCTAATTGTTCCGAAGATGTTGGTATTGCACTTAAAGTATGTGGTTGCGTTACTGGAGGTGTGTAAGGTGGAGGTGGTTTATTTGGAATTTCTCTCATGTACATGTATGGAATTTGCTCTTTTTGTTGTTGTTCGAGTTGTTTGATCTAGCGAAAAATTAAGTTTAAATTGATTAAGGTTTATGAGATATTTGAGGATAATTCTTACCTCCTGTTCGATGGCTAATTGTTTCTTGAATAATGCTTCAGCTTCTTCTCCATACATTTGAGTTACCGAAGCTATATCTTTTTCATTGCTAACAGGAGATCCTAAAAAATAGTAATAAATAACATTATTTTTCATGACTAAAAAGAAATTCTAAAAATCTATTAAATTTTTTTTTTAACATTGACTATATTTTCAAGACGTCAAGGTTGTGGCAAGAATCAATTTCTATCAAAATCACGTGGCTTCATCCTCAACTGAAATCTTTAAGAACTGGAATGAAGTTAAATATCATAGAGATATTAGCCAAATAAAGTTTAAGTCACTATTAACAAAAATATGAAAAATGATAAAAATATAAATATTGATTAATATGAGACAGCAAATTCGTTCCACTGGATATTATCCAATCAATAATCAACGGAATTCAGTTCTTCTTCTTCGTCCATAGGTGACTTCCTTGAATTCAATTTATCAGTCTTCTTCTAAAACTCACAACTTCGTCATCACGGCCAATGATACTAACGTGCAGAAAAAGTATGCTTCTTGTCTAAATGAAGCATTTGGGATTACTGCAGTGAGATCTCAAGCACTCCTCTAGTTGAAAAGCTGAAGTTGATCGCTCTCCCCATTTCGGAACTTTTTGTAAAATAAGACATCCTCCGAAAATAAGCCCTAGTTAAAATAATGTGACAAAAAGAATTCGTTAAAAAATGCTGTCGATTTATTAGCTTTCCTTTCGTGAATTCTTTTCTCTTTCTTTAAGAAACCAATTGTACAATTTTTCTTCTAAAACAGACGATATATTGAATGTGCTTTAAAGTACAAAATAAGGGATTTCCCCGAGCGGTATATAAGTAAAAACCCTGACAGAGAGGCACAATGCACTTGTACGCACCATCGAAGGTCCACGATGTTCACACTACAGTACAGAGGGTATACGGCGTTCAACGTAAATAATTTCAGTCTTGTAAGTCTGATTATTTCCTCATACGTAATTTTATTTAAAAATAAAGTGAATAATTTTTAACCCCAGTTAAAATGAGTACAAAACGAAAGAGCTATTCCGTCGAGTACAAAAAGGGAATCGTGGAAGACTCCAGGAGTGTAAATCTTGTAGCATTCTGTAAAGAGAGGATCTCCGTATGGTTCGTAAATGGCGTGCAGACTACGATTACCTGTGTCAACTAGTGGACCAAGGAAATGAGAAAAAACGCAGAGTTGGATCAGGTCGGCAGTCGTTATTTTCTGAGTTGGAAGATTGCATCTGGGAATGGATTGCAGACGGGAGAGCAATGGCTTTGGTTATGCGCAGGGCTGATATTCAAAAATTTGCCTTTGAAACAGCAATTGAATTTGATATATCCACAGAAGAATTTAAAGCATCGTCACACTGGTTGGACAACTTCCTTAAACGATATGAACTGTCTCTAATGAGATCAACAACATTGTTTAAGCTGGAAGACAATGAAGTTGTCAAGCGTGCACTTGCGTTTAAGCTTTTTGTTGATGGCATCGATTTTTCGAAATACCAACTCTCCAACATGATTGCTATGAATAAGACTTCGTCAATTTACGTTCCTTCTACCGGTTACGATAGTGCACGTGTTATCTGTATTTTGGCGATTAGTCTAGATGCCAAGAAAGTATCGCCATTTTTAACCACTAAAGGTAAAAAAGACCAGATTCAACGTGTTGCGGGAATTTATGTCATTGAAAGTGAAAAAGCCTGCTGCCACCACTGTTGAGGGGTCAGAATAGAGGTTTACTAGTTTGGGATTCAGCCAGTACTCACCGCGCTAAAGACATGAAAAACTTTCTTGCTGAGAGAAAGATTGATCAAATAATGATTCCGGCAGGAATGACTGATTACCTCCAGACACTTGACATTGCAATAAACAAGCCATTCAAGGATCATTTACGGATGGATATCAATATATATTGAAAACAGAATGGTGAGAAATCATCGAGGTAATTTTGTAAAACCAGGCTTACAAGAAGTTGTGAATTGGGTAAAAAATTCATGGAACAAAATAACTTAGACATATATATAGTTAGACAAGAAGTATTCATTTAACGATAGCTATATCGCAAGACATGAGAGATTCGGACCAATGATTCAACAGGAAATGGATTTGGAAGAAAATCAGAATATAATTCAGAATTTTATTTATGACGATGTTCCAGAAGAAGATGACATGACTGTAATTGAATAAATTTAAATTTGTCTTCTGTGTAAAATAAATATTAAATAAAAATATATAAATATACTTTTATTTTTGCTCTCCCCCGAAAATAAGCCCTAGCGCGTATTTTGGACCAAAAAAGAAAGTAAGACAGTGTCTTATTTTCGGAAAAAGACGGTAGTGTGTAATGAATCGAAGGTATAATAATGTTACTCGAGTCACATACCAGCTATATCAGCTTATCGCTGTGTTTACATATTAGCGCTCTGGTAGATTTGGGCCCGGCGAGAATCTGTGAACTCACAATCAGACGAGAATTTTTCAAGAAATGTAAGTTCAAGTTTAATTTTCTGGTATTAGTGCAGGAGTCTCCGATAATGGTAGGGTTGGGATAAACGGGAAACTCATCCTCAGACTGGACACCCACGAATTAGAGTGAACTTTTTACCTAGAATTAGTATTTACTTGTATTGGTTAAAATTTTTATCACATCGTATTGAAATAGGCATTTGCGCAAACTTTAAACCAATTTTGTAACGATTGTAGGATGTTTGTTAACCACAAAACTGTCGCTTTAACTGTTGGTTGCAGATTTAAAAATCTTGTTCAACGGTGTTACTAAGTAAAAGGTGACCATTATGGCGTTGATGCCGTTTTAGCTTGGCAGCGACGAAATATGCAATGCGATTACTTATGATTTGCACCACTCAGACCAGACCAGAAACACACAAATCACAGAGATGTCTGAAAATGAGTAGAATGAAAACATGAATGCGCAATGAAAAAACGCACAAGAAAAAGATTTATTAACGACTTGTAGAGGAATCACAAAAAGAAGAGAAATAACATCGAGTAAATCTCAGTAACACCATTTTGTGTAGAAAATAAATCTCATCAAAACTCGATGTCCACGAATAGGAGCGGTTTGCTCCTATTCGTGGACATTGAGGTTGCGATTACTTTGATTACGTTGGTTGATAGTCACTTTTGTCATATCTTGTTGCTCTTTCGTTAAAAAGATTAATAAAAAAAAAGTAAATTTCTTTGCCAAGGAATTCTTCAGCTTTAGAATGGCCTCCGCAAATACTTCACCGGCTTGTCGCCTTGATAAGTATTTCCCGTTTCCTTTGGCCTTCGTAGTAAGCAAGGCTCAGATCAATGTGTGATGAAAACCATACAGACACACTGCTAATGAGATGAGTATCCAGTATGGTTGATTTGCCAATGCTGAATATGAATATTGAGTTGACCTAGACGGCAAGTGTTTTCCATTTTTTTAGAAAAACGTTATTCTTCTTGGTTTCGGTTGCTGAGTGTCTTTGTTGATGAAGTCTGATATCTGCACAAAGCTTCACGTTATCGAGCACCAATCCTTGGCAATTCAAAGAGTGTATGAAGATTTTGACAAATCGTTGTACAATTTTGTTTAGTACATTTTGCAATAAATGAAGAACCCTAGGCAAAATACAGATAAAGTAAGCAAATTATTCCATATTCCTTCGCCCCACGACTTCCTAAGTTTTCCTCAATTCCTTCATTCATTGAACACCCAGTCTAATGCTATTTTTTCTTTCCTCTAGCATACGTTGTACGTGGCCGTACCGTATCAGCTGTTTTTTCGTAACGTCTTCTATAATTGTTTCTTTGATATTTGTAACAAGTCCTCTTCTGTTAATCGGTGTTTATTCAAGATTCCGCATGATCTACTAAGGACGTTCATTTCGACTGCTCTTATTCTATTTTTATCGACTTCTGTTAACTTCTACGTTTTTTGCTCCGTAAAATCCTATACTTTTTACAATATACAGGGGTGTTTCTATGAGTTGTGGCATAATATTAATCACAAATACTAGAGTTAAAATGATGACAATTCGTGTAAAAATTTTAAATATAATTTGTCTTGGAAAGATAAAGTTTGGTTTAAGTAATCGTTTAAGCTCGTTTTTGCTTACTTTTGAAAGTATGCAACCACGGGATCAATGCTATACAGGTGTCCACAAAGGTTATTTCCTTAAAACTTTTTTATTATGTCGTAAACTCTTAGAAATTAGTGATTGAGACGCATTGTTTGGTTAAACGATACAACCTCGTCCATGAAATACTGTCATTAATCGTATCCCATGAAAGCTCCCATGAAGATAAATCGTAAGTAAAGCAATATGTCAAATTGATGGTATCAACATCAATAAAAAGTATTTTTTCTAAACACGCAGCATCAACAGTACATTTCTCCATCTCAGTATGGCAAAACACAATATACAATAATTGATACAATTGCTGTTCGTATGGCACACGCCAAGCCGTACTTTTGGATATTCCGAAATGTTGATATCAACAATATCATCAGTTATTTGCAATATCATCTCACCACTGCGTTAGCATTGCCTAAACACTCTCCCAACGTTAAAAGCATGTCAGTTTGCTCACTAAACTGTAATTATTTGTCATTTTAAACAACTATTACCGACTAACGAATGTTGGGTAATGATTTGACAGTTGCTTTACTGCTGCAGTTACAATTTATTTTCATAGGCACCCACGATTAATGAAAACATTTCATAATCGAGGGCAAAAAGTTACAATTTTTGCGAATAACTCGAAAACGATGTGTCTAAACAAAAATACTACAAAAAACTTCAACAAGAAGAAACAATAAAAACATTATATGCACGTCTACATTTCATTGAAAGCAATTTAAATCAAGGAGCGATTCAAAAAAGAAATCAAAATGTCTAAAAAGCAGCAACTAAAAATAATGCTGTGGAATCCAATGGTCTTCGACAACATCAAAACACATTACCAATAATACTTAAAGAAAACTCACGTCAAATAAAAACGAGAGGAACTTGATATCAAATTTAGACACCTACATTGGCAGAAAATCAACGCTATCACTAAGAAACAAGTTACTAATATACAAGCAAGTATTAAAACCAAAATTGATATACGTAATCCAACTGTGGGGTTGTACCTGCAAAACAAATGCAAGTCTGATTTAAAGTTTCCAGAACAAAGTACTAACATACTGAATGCACCCTGGTATATAAGAAATACCGACCTCTTCTACTTGGAAGTAGCATCGGTGTCATCAGAAATTGCATCATTCGCATCTAAACATGACAAGAGAATGCACGATCATCCCAACATCGAGACCATCCAGGTTCTCGACAACGAGGATGTCCTGCGTCGCCTTCAGAGGATGAAGCTGTACGATTTAGTGACCTAGTGCCCTAGTCGATTCAAACGCGAGCAATAGTGCGTAATTATAACAAAAACAATAATACCCTAAACGTGTAAAAATATGACAATATTTATCTATATTATGGGTAAAGCAGACTGGACCACTGAGAAAAGCTGCAAAACATTATCTAGTTTAATTTGTTGTTAAAAATAAGTAACTAATTAGTATGTATTTACTAGGTGTTATAAAATTGTGCTATGCATAATATAGAAAAAAGAGTGAAAATAATTTTAAAATGAAATAAGCTTTTAGAATCAGTTGTAAAATTTAAGGGTTTATGACATAATTAAAGTTTTAAGGAAATAACCTTAATGAACACCCTGTATAGCATTGATCTCGTGGTTTTTAAGGTCTTCGCAGTCTCTTTAAAGCTCGTCTTTCCTGTCTTAAACGGTCTTTCTAATGAATCTTTTTCTTCGTTGTTTGGTCCTTTTTTCACGGTAATATTCGTTTCGCAATCATCAAAAGTGTATCTTTACAACATCAAAAATCGATTTTTATTTATCGCGGTAATCAATTCGATGACTAGACATTTCATAATCAAAAACAATGTAATACAGCCTGAATTTACTTGATGAGTTTGAACCCTAAAGCGCCCAATATTTGCTAATATAATTATTTCAGTCTCAAGTTTTATGTTGTGTAAATAAAAGAGCTATAGTTCTTCTTCTTCCTTATTGCATGACAATTTTAACTAGTCAGCTAGACTTTATAAGCCTGATCTATAACTACCACCAAATGTTTTTACGCAAAAGTCAGGTAGGTGGCTAAGCTTATCTGTGATAAGTTTCAACCATAGCTAACAACGTTGGTATAGCCACTGGGACCGACTGATTAACGTGCCCACCCGACGCATGGTGCGTGATGTTACTTCTAAATTTCTGACCAGAGAAAAATTCCATGGTCTCGGACCACCGAGTCTTGAACCTCGGTCGCCCAGCGCTAGCTATAATTTTTATCAATTATCAGTCGTCAAGACTTGAAAAGAATCGAAAATAGATGAAAAATCATCGCTTTAATACCAACTCCTTTTTCGAATCTCCTTTTGTAATTTCCTTTTTCTTCTTGGACATTAAATATAAATAATAAACGTAAATAAATAAGAACATACAATGTTTTTTCATAGCGGAAATGTCGTTTCTTCATTAATCGATCAAAATTGTTTACGTTTTCCCGTTTTAATAAATAACTGTTTAGAATAAAAAGTTTTTGGAAAATGCGAATTAATTTTGCAACTAATTTATCATGTTCTAGGACGCGTAGTAAACACAGTAATCTTTTAAAAATTCGTAAATATTGGACTGTTCTTAGAACTGATGCCAAAATACAAAATGTTGATCGCTATTCAATCAATTTCACAACAAACTGCCTAAAGAAACATCTTTTGATTGATTATGATCCTTGATTATTAATAGCTTTTATTAAAGAAGATAAACCTTGGTAGTTTTGAAACATAAATAACTATTAATCTACAATACTTACCCATTTCAGGTGATCTATCCGGTGATAAAATATCATAAGTAGTGGTGTAAATATCTTGAAGCCTTGGACTTTTATCTCCACGTGGACTATGAGCATCCGCTAAAATTTCTGATACCCGTTTCTTCACAGCAACAAAATCACCAACGTCGGATGACAACAATTTAACCGATTTTGAATCAACAATTTCAGATTTACTACTTTTCAATTTACTTTGTCCGTTACTATTCGACGATGAATTTATTTCCGTTTTAATTTCACTGGACGATTTTTCAGAATTTTCTTTGACTTTATTATTAATCGGCGATAATTCTTGTGTTACAAATCGCTTTGTTTTATCGTCAATCACCTCATTTAATCCTTTCAATTTGTTTACTTCACCAGTTTGGAATTCTTCCAATTGCGATAACTCATTTATTGATAAAGTTCCAGAGGTATCGTCAACAACTTCAGTCTTTTTCAATTCTTCGCTTTCTTGAAAACTTTTGGGCGGATCATTTATTAATTGAGACGATTTAGAATCATTGATCGTTTTATCAGTACGGATCGATTCGATATCATTAGTTGTATCTAAAGTTTCATTTTTATCGGAATGTTGAGAAGTTCTTATTTCGGTTTGACTTTTTTTATATACGTTTTCAATTTTATTTTGAAAATCTAACGAGTGGAATATATTTTGAAGATCATTAATTTTTTCTTCCCATTTGATTTCGCGATCAGGAATTACATCATGTCCATTATGCGAAGAATAATTTTCGGATGTTATTATTTTTGGAGATTCATCATCATCCAAAGTTTTTAATGGTTTAAAAATAATTTTTTTACTTGATTCTTCAACCGATGAGTTATTTTTATTTATATCATCGTCGTTAATTGAGGAAACATTACTTAAAGTCGATGATTTATCGATTTTTTCAATATCACTTTTGTTTGATTTATTTGAATAAATTTCGGTTTTAGTTTTAATTTGATTTGATTTATTTTTTGATTCAACACCAATTTTCTCAATTGATACAATCTCCACGTCGCCATTTGATGATATTTCTGACTTATCTTTCTTTGTATTGTTTAAATCAAATAAAACATCATGTTCATTGTCTTTAGAGACAGTGTTATTGATGATATGTGATGAAACCGAGTCAGATTTCTTAGTTATATCATCACTTTTCGACAATTTATTACTTACTTTGGGTTCTTTATTAATAATATTCAATGAAATTATCTCTGATCTCTTAGTTACTGAAGAATCGCCACTTTTTGATGACATTTTGCTCCCTTTATTAGTAATATTAGATGAAATCAAACCTGAATTTTTAATTGATGATGAAATATCGTCACTTTTTAATGATATTTTGTTCATTTTAGCTTCTTTATTACCGACATTTAACGAAATTAACTCAGATTTTTTAATTGTTGATGAAATATCATCACTTTTTGATAACATTTTGTTGGTTTTAATTTCATTATTACTCGTATTTGACGAAATTAACTTCGATTCATTAATTGTTGAAGATATATCATCACTTTTTGTAGATATTTTATTAATTCTAGCTTCTTTATTACTTATATTGGACGAAATCAAATCTGATGTTTTATCTTTTCCTTTCAATTTACTTTCTGTATCAGTAAGTACCGATTTATCATCTAAATTTGAAGTTATATCATTCTCAACTTTCGATTTATTGATTTCCTCAAAAATCTCGTTTTTAACTTCATTTTTCTCGTTTGATTTTCCATTCAATAATAAATAATTTTCCGATTTATCATCATTTGTATTGATTTCAAATTCTTCGCATTCAGATATATCATTATAGCTGGAACTATCATCGAGTAATTCTGATTTGTACAAAACGGTGAATCCATTGTTGTCTTTTTCTGTTTGTTTGAAATTACAATCGTCGTAGTCTTCCACTGCCAACCCTTTACTGAAAATATCACCAATTTGGCACGGAGTGGACGTATTTTGCTTGTCATTTATTTCGACTTTCGGCTCGTTAGAACCGGACAATAATTCGCCGTTAGGACTGAAGGTGCTGGATGAATCATTACCTAACGTATTTTTAGTTTCAGGTGTGTTGTTGCGGATGTTATTTTCCGTAACCGTTTGAGACGTTTGAGTCTTGATTAGCTCGGTTAAATTTTTAACGAGGGTGACACTTGAGTTAAACGAATTTGATTTTGAATTTGAGTTTTCATTTGGTTTTAATACTGTTATTGAAATACTTTTTGATTTAATTGGTTCGTCTAAAGATTTTGATTTGTTTAATGAGATATCCATTAAATTATTTTCCGTTTTAATTGAGTTTTCACAAATTTTTAATGAATCACTTTCATCACCACTTACGATTTTATTATAATTTTGAGTTCGACTATTTAATATATCATTAATTCTTTGCGTTCCAACACTTAAAATTTCATTTATTTCTTGATCTAAATCATTTTGATTCACTTCACTAATTTTTTGTGTTTCTTCTGTAACAATTTCATCGGTGTCATCAGGGAGATTGGACTGAGTTCGTACGAAACCGTCACTAGTTTTAACGGATTCATTAGTCGCACTGTGTTCGTTAACGTTAGCAGACGTCGACAGCTTATAAATAGCGGAAATCTCGTCTGTAATATTGCTTATATTCTGCATTATTTCGTTTAAGGTGGATTTCGATTTATCGATTTCATTTTCTAATTTTTCAGTTTTTGGTTCAATCTTTTCGGGAGATATTTTCTCAGAAACTTCAACAACTTGTGGTTCAAAATCTTCAGAATAAATTGTTTTCTCACTCGTTGTTGATTTTTTACTATACTTTGTACCAATACTTTCTTCGGTGCTTATGCTTAAACTTGAGCTGCTTGAATGTTTTGAACGTTTTTCATGTTTCTCGAGTTTTTCGTGCTTTTCAGTTTTTGTGGCTGCTTTTTTAGCTTCCTTACAAAATTTTTCCAAAGCGATTGGAGATAAATCGTAAGATTCAGCTTCATTAAATTTCTTTTCATCTCTTCCCGTCATATTTAACCATAAAAGATTAAGTTGGGAGCCTTTAAATTTATGATTCTCTTCCTTCTTATCATGTTGCTTGGGAACCATTGAAGGGGCTTGTTTAATTATTGTATTTGCAGCCATTTCAAGTTCGGCTATTTTTCGTTCTTCCTCCAATAATCTTTGATGCCATTGCAGCAGTTCCTCGGCTGCTTTTTTTCGTTTTTGTAACGCCGCTTCTCTCATTAATAACGACCTATTGAATAAGATTTAAAAGTATAGAATCTCATATGAATGAAAAAAAGTTCTTACTAAATAAATGTATCATTACGTCGTAGAATTTTTTTAGTTTGCGAAACAGAACAAGCGGCAGCAGCCTTCGCGTCAGGCATAAAGACACCGACTAATTTTAAACTTAGTTCCTCTAGGTAGGAAGTATCCTGTGTGAAAACAGTGTTTTGGCCGAATTCCAACAGGATATCTAATATTAGTCCGTTTGTTTTTTAATCGTTTCTAATTTACTCAACGTTAATGAAGTGAAATTTGGACTTGGGGCGGTTTAATGGTTCGTTTTTCGTCCGGCAGTCAGGGATGCGAAACTGCGAGCGGCGGCGGCAATGGATGAGTGTCGAGCGGAAATGGGGCGAACATCACCTTCGATCGTCAAGTTTTCGACTCGCTTATTAAAATTAGCGGTACAAGCGCCAAAGGGCCACCACTTGACGGCGACACTGCCGCTGGTGCGGTCACGAAAATAGAATTGTCGACGCTCGGCTTGGCGCCTTCTGAATGATGCGGTCTCGTGATTTGTAATAATAAACCTTGTATACACATGTTTTTGCTTTGAACGTTGCTTACCGCGCCCTCAATTTGTAACATCATTTTTATATCGATAAAACAGATATAATGACTTCTTTAATTTTTCTTTTATTGTAAAAGCACACTTAAGTTAAACTATTTTGATCTTATTCGTAGCAGTAAATATTATCTCATTACACGATAAATTGCTAAAATGTAAATATGTAGATCTTTCTTATCTACATATTTTAATTGGTACTAAAATACACTGTTTATAGAATAAACCAAATAAAAATATATTCAAAACAGATAGAAAAGGATAGCATTTTATGTCCTATAAATAGCAACATTATACAGAAAAACTTAGTCTGATGACTGCATAATGATGATTATTATGTTAATTGTTAGTCTAGAGTCAGAACATTATTGTATCTATAAAATCATAAATAAAAGGATCAAGACCAAAATCAGTTCAAATTACAAAAATTACCGGGAGCCTAACATTACGATGTTGTAACTTTGTTCATTTTTGTTGAACTAGAGACTCCTCCAATCATCCAAACGATTACTTTGTGCGTTTCAGGTAATGGTGTCCGACGTAGACCGTGCTAAGATTTTGGGGTTGAGCCAGGCCTGGGTGATTCACAAGAAGTTCGAAAAAACCATCGGAGTTTCCCGTAGGATCATCCCAGAAGTGGAAGACCAAAGATTGCCGTTACGCCCACCATGGTAAAGCGTGTCTAGGACAAACTACACTAGAATTCCAAGAGGAGTCTCAAGAAAATGGCTAAGGAGCTGAATATCAGCCGTGGATTTGTGCAAAAACTCACACTTTGACGGAATAGATTAAGGTCGTTCGCGAACTTCTGAAACGTTTCTCACCATCGGAGCTCAAAGACATCCTCTTCACTGACAAGAAGTTATTTACGATTGAGCAAACAATCAACCGCCAAAACGACAGAATTCTCGCGCGAACGATTAGGAAGAGAATGAGCGTGGTCGGTACGTTTCCTGCAAGGGGACTTCGATCGGGAAAATACCGGATCAATATCAATTCCCAACAGAAATACTTTGATAAGATTCTGATGAAGAAAGTACTTCCTTGAAACCAGTCTCATTTCAACGTCCCTGGACATTCTAAGATAATTCAGCAGTCGTCCCGGAATAATTTTCCAGTCATAATCATTTCCCTACTCGCCTGGTTTAAACCCCATGTTTTTTCCCTGTTGTCTGTCCTTGAGAGCAAGGCCTGTGCTATTCATCACAAGAATCTCGACAGTTTCAAGCAAGTCCTTCAGAAGGCATTTAACGATAACGACGTCGAGTACCTCTGTGTGAAGGCAAAGGGTGGATATTGCTATCTTTGGTTGTACATTGTTGTTTGTTAATATTTGAATAACCAAATAGCCAAATTTCATGTCTCTATGTGCTTCCGTTCTATTTTTATCAACTGAAATACCCTGCTACCGGACTTTTGTGATACCCTGTAAATAATACGAAGGAATAATCTTCGACATAGAAGCATTTGATCAACAATACCTGGAAAAAAATTGAAACTACTTATTTTTTTTAAACTTAAAACAACAATACTAGTTGGCCTATTTATTGCAAAGAGAATTAAAACGCATTCTATAACTCATTATTATCGATTACTTGAGTAAAATATTTGTACAAACCTTTGTTTTGACATTTTAAAGTACTACTTCTATAAGTACAGTAGATTAGCAGCATATATAGACTAGTCCTCTATGACTGGTGTGGTGTAACCACATCGACAGTCAGATGAGCTCGACTACTCTTGAAAATGTAGAACAATATCGAGGGCCTTCTAAGGGATTAAGAAGACGACTGTCACTGATAACATCTAGAACAACACCTAATCGTAATGTATTAAAGAAAACATCAACGATGTTTCATCATATGTACATGTTTAACGAGAAATAAAAAGTTACTAAAAATAAATGTGAAAATTATAGAAGCATATCAATACTTAGCACGGCTTACAAATATTCACAACCATCGTTAAACACAAATTGGGACATTTGGTAGAGACAATATTGGGAGGGTACCAGATATTGAGCGCCTAACAAATAAAACAAAAACTATGGAAATATGGCATAGACTTATTCCAAAGTCGATGTGTAGGCTTCAAAAAAGCTTAAGATAACATAGAGAGAAGTAAACTTCTAGAAATACCGTTAAACATCGACATTCCACGAAAGCTGGTTAGAATGATAAACATAACTATGAGTAATACAACAAGTAGAGTAAAGATTGGCGGAAAAATCGGAGAAACAAAAAAAATCTTAAGTAACATATGGCCTGCAACAGAGAGATGGTATAGCACAAATGATCTTTAACCTGGAACGAAAACCGTAGAAAGTGTAATAAAGAAGACCAGCTTGACTACAGGATCGAAGTTATTAAGTCACTCAAAACAAATCATAGCATATGCAGACGACATAAACATTCTAGCAAGAAAGGTAACAGATGTAGACGAGCCCTTCTGGGAACTTGAAAGCCTAGCTAAGGGAATAGACCTGGAAGTCAATAACCAAACTACTAGTGCAGAGTAGGCAACCACGAAATTGGATAGGACGAAAATCATAATAGACGAATACCACCACGTAATGGTACAAGAGTTCACATATTTAGGATCTAACATGTCACATGACAACGGCGAAGCCAAGGAGATAATTAAAAGATTAAATGCAGCAAATAAGTTTATTAAGTAGTACCCATACTAAAATCCAGAGACATTCACACAAAAACTAACAGAAAAGGTATGGAGGAATGTAGACATTTATACAAAGAAACGCTGATAGAGTCGATACAGATTTGTGTAACCTATTGGTAAGTGATGTTATGCTAGCGTAATCTAAGGGAAAGATGTCTTGATATAAATTTAATCGGATTTATTCGGGATTTTCTGCTTAACCAATAAAGGGTACAGGTACGCTATGTCTCATCCTATTCTAGCAATATAAATTAATATGGAATAGTATGTCAAAATACAAATTTAACTATTATTTTAACTATTAAATAAATATAGTATTTATATCAAGAAAACAAATTCTTAACGAAGAAGGTCTATTTAGGAATAGTGCACTATATGTCACACAACATGACCTCACTTTTACGGAGAAATTGCTCTTGACCCGTATTAATGTATCGTAGAACATCTGTAGGACACTTGTATAAACAGAACGCACATTACAGGGTGTTAAAGTAATAAATAATCCGCATATAGTGCTAACGCCGAGCAAAAGATTCATAATGACAAAAATCTTCCATTAATCTTCAGCAAGTAAAGATTATTATTTATTCATCAATATCAAAATGAACTTTCTTTTGACGTCGATGGTTTCCTAAGGATACATTTTTCAGAAATTAAAAAAAAAAGATTAATTTAGATTAAATTTGTAGACTTTTTAGAACTATTGATTATACATTATATGATACGACTACACGATAATTAAAATGTAATATGATCGAATAATATTACTATTGCAAGATTTTAGATACAAAGTAAGATAGATACAAAAGATGTTTATTACTGAAAAATAAAGTCTCTGGATGTTTATGACAAAACAATAATACGTTCGATTTATATCTGGTAAGTACTAATAAACACAATCATTGATTGTGTGAATAAGAACCAAAATTAGAATTTGAACTAACAAACAAAGAAAATGTGTATTAAATACTTTTTAGTCACTTTCTATTAGCAACTGTAAGCTATTAATTTANGGAAAGATGTCTTGATATAAATTTAATCGGATTTATTCGGGATTTTCTGCTTAACCAATAAAGGGTACAGGTACGCTATGTCTCATCCTATTCTAGCAATATAAATTAATATGGAATAGTATGTCAAAATACAAATTTAACTATTATTTTAACTATTAAATAAATATAGTATTTATATCAAGAAAACAAATTCTTAACGAAGAAGGTCTATTTAGGAATAGTGCACTATATGTCACACAACATGACCTCACTTTTACGGAGAAATTGCTCTTGACCCGTATTAATGTATCGTAGAACATCTGTAGGACACTTGTATAAACAGAACGCACATTACAGGGTGTTAAAGTAATAAATAATCCGCATATAGTGCTAACGCCGAGCAAAAGATTCATAATGACAAAAATCTTCCATTAATCTTCAGCAAGTAAAGATTATTATTTATTCATAAATATCAAAATGAACTTTCTTTTGACGTCGATGGTTTCCTAAGGATACATTTTTCAAAATTTAAAAAAATGATTAATTTAGATTAAATTTGTAGACTTTTTAGAACTATTGATTATACATTATATGATACGAATACACGATAATTAAAATGTAATATGATCGATACACTTATTTTTGCAAGATTTTAGGTACAAAGTAAAATAGATACAAAAGATGTTTATTACTGAAAAATAAAGTCTCTGGATGTTTATGTCAAAACAA